TCCCTGCAGGGCCCGATCTACCACGCCGACGACGTAAGCTCCATGCAGGGCCCGGCCTACCGAGCCAACGCCGAACGTTCCCTGAAAGGCCCTGATCAACTCGAGAGACACTGAGCACTCATCAGCCGGACCCGGTCTACCGGCAAAGGACTCTACCCCAGCTGGAAATCCCCTGGGACTGGGGGTCTATTTGCAGGTCTACCTTATCCCTAGCCAGGGGGAAGGGGGTGTGTCCCTGCCTAACTACAGCCCCAGTCCGGTCCGCATTATCCCCTGGGACTAGGAGTCTAGTTGCAGGTTTGCCATGTCCCTGGCTAGGGGGAAGGGGTGTTGTGTCCCTGACAACTACAGTTCCCAGTCTGGTCTGCCATGTCCCTAGCTAGGGGGAAGGGGTGTTGTGTCCCTAACGACTACAGTTCCCAGTCTGGTCTGCCATGTCCCTAGCTAGGGGGAAGGGGTGTTGTGTCCCTGACAGATTCTGTTGTGTCTTTGGAACTGGTTGGAGTCCCCAACCAGGTCCGCTGTTTGAGCGGCAACACCAGCCGCTCCCATTGGTTGGCTCCGTTTGACAGTCGGCTATAAAAGCCGGCTGTCGAGCAGAGCCAGCCAGAGAAGTCGCCCTCCGGGCTGCCAGCCCAGCCAGGGCAGTCGCGGCTACCTGTTATGCTCCAATAAATTGATGTTAGCCTCCAGCTCCGTGTCTGCCTCGTGTCTCCTTGCGACTACATAACAGTAACCATTGTAGCTTAAGGTGTAACACCTTCACAGGATTTAAAAGCCAATTGGTCAGATTAACAGTTTCAAGAATCTTATCCAGTTTTTCAGGAGATGCAGAATCAAACCTCTGCCAGATAATGGGACCAATTTCTCCCTATCAGGAAATGGGTGACTTTAAATCTGACTGAATGGATATTTGTCAGATGTAATAAGGGCAGAAAAATTAACACATTTTGCTGCTCTTAATGCCCAGATGTAATCCCTAAGGTGAACTCTCATATGATTTTGACTGAATTCACTCTTTCTCATCCTCCAAAGGAGATGTAGATGTTGTTTCTGTCATTTCATCCCTTAGAACTTCTTTGTACTGGCCCTTCACCCCCTGCCCATATTGACAATTACGGGGAGGCCAGATAGGAGCAATTTAATCCAGAGTCTAGTACTAGCATACTGAAGTAAAGTAAATCATGTGTATATAACCTAAGTTTAGATCTGGAAAAATAGTGTTTATATACTATAACATCAAAACTTCTGAAGATGTTTAATTTTTTGGCAGAATTTGATGAAAATTGAAGGAAGAGTAAATGTTTCAGAAAATATTACATCTGCCTAGTCTCAGCCAGAAAACCTCAAGGTTTTTATCTCACCCATAACATTTTTAAGGCAAAGAGACAAACAGTTGAGGAGAAAACACAGTCAACCTCCAAATTTCCTAATTTTCCAAAAAGACTCCTAAAGAATTTATAGAACAAATGTGTCCAGTTTAAAAATCAATTTTAAAAAAACTGTTTTTAATCTAAATTTTCAAAGAAAATTAGTAAGAAAGAAGTTATCTTACTTGCTGTTCTGGGTGTTCCAAATTTGTGGTTTGCGGCTTCCAGTCCTTTGATTTTGTTGGACAAGCTTAGCCCTTCCACAATGTAATCAAGACTGAGTTGTAATTCCTTGGTAATATCCAGATTAGTTAGTAAGCAGAAGCAACAAAGGCAAGTTGGCTAAGTGAGATACAATGCTATAGAGATAGACACAGAAAAAAAAGTTGCCATAGAACTGTGGTATATTTCTCCTCCTTCTCAAAAGTAGAATAGAATAGAGCTGGAAGGGGCCTTGGAGGTCCTCTAGTCAGCCCCCTGCTCAAGCAGGATAACCTGTTGTCTGTTCCAAACCAAGCCAGCAGAAGAAGAGGCCACACCATGAGCAGAACGGGTCTCTTTACTGGAGTCTCAGCTTGGCATGTGGTGAACAATACAAGTAAAAGTGTTTCTAGCATTACTGGCTTCTGCCAGCCAGCTGGCTATATGGGCTCAGCACCCTCCACCCTGGTTCCTGGTTGCTACCGGCTGGCTCCAGCAAGTACTTTGTGCAGCCTGGTTGCTCCCGGCTGGCTCCAGCAAGTACCTTTTTGGCCTGGCATGCAGTACTTCCTCCCGGCTACTCTTGTACTGTGGTATATGGGACAGGGCATCTTCCAAGAAATTCTTTCCTCCTGGTATATACTTGAGGGTGAACTGAAAATGCCGGAAATATTGTGCTCACCTCACCTGTTTTGGTGACAATTTCTTTGGGGTCTATAGAGCCACCAGATTTTTGTGATCAGTCCATACCTTGAATGGTATTTTACTCCCCTCCAGGAAATGTTGCCACATCAGCAGTGCCTTCTTCTCCCAAATCACCCACTGTCATTCTGCGTTGGTGAATTTCCGGGAGGTACAGGCACAAAGCTGCAGCTCACATTTATCATTGCACTGCAATAGGACAGCCCTGATGGCTACATCACTGGCATCTGCTTGGATAACAAATGGTCTTTTGGAATCGGGGTGCTTGAAGATTGGCTCCTGGGCAAACAGGCTCTTCAGCGTTTCAAAGGCCCACTGGCACTCCACAGTCCACTGAAAGGGCTGGTTGGGCTGGGGCTGGGGCTTGGTCACAGCAGGTTTGGTTTTCAGCAGGTTGGTGATTGGCAAAGCTACTCAGGCCAACAAGGGGCTAAACTGCCTATAGAAGTTTGCAAACCACAGGAAACTCTGCAACTGCTTACGCATCCTGGGAGCCTTTCACTCCAGGACAGCTTTCACTTGGCAGGATCTGTCTCCACTCTTTTGCTGGATATCTGGTAACCCAAATAGTCCAAACAAGTGCGACAGTTTTGCATACAGATATGCTGCAAATAATTTTTTTCAACATCTGCCGGACCAGTTGAATGTGCTCCTCCATGGTCTCCATATAAACTAAAATATCATTCAGGTAGATCAATACGCCCTTGTACAGGTGCTCATATAGCACTTAGTTGATAAGTTGCATGAATACCTGCAACACAAACAGCATCACCTTAAACTCCCCAGAGAGCAGTTGAAGGCCATATGAACCCTGTAGTATGTTTCCCATAGGTCCAACTTAGTGAAGATGTTACCTCTAGCCGGGTGGGCCAACATATCCTTCATCAGGGGCAGCAGGTACATGTTTTCAATACACACACTGTTTATGCCCCGAAAGTCCACGCACAAGCTCATTGATCCATTTTTTTTTCTCCTTAAATACTGGGGCAGCAATCCTGGAATGTGCCAGCTGGATGAATCCCCTGGCCAGGTTCTTGTTAATGTATTCCCACAGTTTCTCCAGTTCCCAGGGAGTCATTGAGTACATTTTGGGTTTGGGCAATTTCACCCTGGGAATAATTTTAATAGCACAATCCGTCAATCGGTGAAGTGGCAGAACATCTCACTCCTAATCTAGCTGAACATATCTGCTACATCAGCATATTCCGAGGAATATGGGGGGTTCCCAGTTCTCTGATGTACTGGTCCTCCAGCACAGGTCATCTCCCTACAGACGTGTTTGTGTGGTAAAGGGAACGGGCCCTGGGATATCCTCAGCCTCCTGTATCCACCTTCCCACCATATAGTTGGGCCCTATTTGTCCAACCAGGCCAAGCCCAGGATCACTGCTTTGGTAATTTTTGTATGACCACGAAGCGGATCATCTCCCAGTGTATAGCCATCTCCAACCTTATGGGCTCTGTGATGTGGGTGTCAGGGGGTTCCATAGGGCCGAAGGGAAGCTGATTTGTCAGCAAGCTGGCAGAACTCCCATATATAGTTCAGCACCTGATGAGGCCCCTGCTTTAATGTCATCAGCTCCCCTTCAGCCCTGTGGGTCCGAGTCAGGTCCTTGAAATGGCATTGTAGAGCTTCCAGCAGCAGGTTGACATTTCCCAACTCCCAAGCATTGTCACTCTACAGATCTTCTACCCAGTCTGCCATTTCCCCACCCAGGGTCACTTTCACCAATCCACCATGGCCCACCGGCTGGGATATAGGTGTTCATAGCAAGCAGTTTGTTATGTCCGTGGAACTGGTGGGAGTCCCCAACCAGGTCCGCTGTTTGAGCGGGAGCACCAGCCGCTCCCATTGGTTGGCTCCGTTTGACAGTCGGCTATATAAGCCGGCTGTCGAGCAGAGCCAGCCTGTTGTCGCCCGCTAGTCTGCAAGTTACCAAGCAGACGCGACAACCCTTTATTCCCTGCAATAAAGCCTTGTTAGTTGTACGCTCTGGTCTCATGCCTCTTCCTTACCATCGCTCCACAACACTGGCGACGAGGATGGGATGGTCGAAGGCTAACCAGACGCGTCTATTCAAAGAGCTGTAAATCACTGAGAGTGAAGTCACGAGCGCTGTAGCCGCAGCCGTGCAACGCTCACAAAGAGCGCGAAATTCAAATTGCCATCACTCGAGCTGTAGTCACTGAAACGAGCCGCCGGCACCGTAGCCGCGGCCGCCAACGCTCACCAAGAGCGCGAAATTCAAAAAGAGCTACGTAGCCCAGAGAGACAGTCACAGCCTGCGCTCTTTTAAGAGCGCGATTTCAAAGACGATTGAAGAAGACGAACCCGACACTACCCACGATGAATGCTAATCCAGCATTCCCGCCATTCAAGCCAAACGAGGAAACGTGGGATTCCTACAAGAATCGCTTCAGCCATTTCCTCGATGCCATCGGGTTAGCTGACGCTGCGGAACATAGAAAGAAGTCTTATTTCCTCAGCTATTGTGGGGCCGCCGTTTTTGACACCGCTACAGCGTTAGTCGCACCACGCGCCATCAGAAGCGTCCCATGGGATGAACTACAAGAAATACTCTCCAATCACTACGCGCCAAAACCATCCCAGATCGCCAGAAGGTATGCCTTCAGAATCAGGAAGCAGGCAGTGGGGGAGTCGATCAACGAATACATGGCTGCCCTGAGGACAGCTGCCTTACAGTGCGGTTTCAAAGAATATCTGGAAGACATGCTGCTGGACCAGATCGTCTGTGGGGTTAGAGACCTGAGACTCCAAAGACGTTTGCTGGCAAAAAAGGACTTGAATCTGGCCCTAGCCATGGAGGAAGCCCTGGCTGCTGAGCTCTCTGCCCAGTCAGCAGCCGAGATTCAGGGCACCCCATTAAAGCCCAGCAGTCCAACCGTCCATTCTGAAGAAGTGCTCAGTGAAGAAGACCCCACAGACTCATCAGACATTAACCGCCTTAAGCATCAGAAGCCTTCACAGGTAGGAGCGGGACAGACAAACAGCTTCACCCCCAAACAACCGCCCTTGTGCCTAACCTGCGGAGGCTCCCACTCTAGGGCATCCTGCAGGTTTAGAAACGCCATCTGCCTGAACTGCCAAAAGAAGGGTCACCTCGCTAGAGTATGCCAAGCAGGGCGCTCCTTGCCTCAAAGACCTCCACCACCTTCTATTTCCCAAAGGCAAGTGGAGGACTGCTATACCTGCTACCACGCTAACCATACTTCCCAAACCCCTGATAAAATTAAAATTTCTGTTTTCCTAGAAGGTAAACCCTGCAGGATGGAGGTAGACACGGGATCTGCGCTCTCAATCATCTCCTGGGACACTCTGAAGAAGATCCAGCCCAGACTGTCAAGGAAACAGCTACAAAGATGCCACCTGACACTGCGGGACTACCAGGGCAAGAACATTCCTGTCCTCGGGAAAGGCAAGTTCCTCGTTCAATTCCAAGCCTTTAAAGGCCATTTGCCTTTAGTGGTTGTTAACGGTGCCCTCCCCAGCCTGTTGGGACTTGATTGGTTTCCTTCCCTTGGCCTTAGTGTAACTGGGATCCATGCTGTCTCAACTTCTGACGTAGATACATTATTTTCTGATTTTTCTGACGTATTTAGTAGCGAGCTAGGTTGCTATTCGGGCACCCCCATCTCGTTTTCTGTAGATCCCCAGGCAATTCCTCTCCGCCTTAAGCCACGCAGGGTGCCTTTCGCCATCCGTCCTAAACTGGACACAGAATTAGACAAACTACTTAAACAAGGGGTGTTAGAACCTACTGATTTTGCCAAATGGGAGACCCCCATAGTCACCCCACTCAAGAAGGATGGCAGTTTAAGAATCTGCGCAGACTATACAACCACGCTCAACCGTTATTTACAGGTCAGCGCATACCCCGTCCCTGTCATTCAGCATCTGTTACACACATTCGAACCCGGTACCATCTTCGCCAAGTTAGATATGTCCCAGGCATACCAACAGTTCCCTGTTGATGATCAGACAGCTGAATTACAAACCATAGTCACGCATAGAGGGGCATTCAAATGTAAGCGCCTCCAATTCAGGGTCAGTGTGGCCCCGGGCATTTTCCAATCACTCATGGAACAGATTCTCCAAGGTCTCCCAGGAGTCGTTCCGTATTTCGATGACATCTTAGTCTCAGCTACTAGCCGACCTCAACTCATTCAGAGGGTCAGGACAGTGCTAGAGAAGTTTAGGCAGCATGGCCTCAAACTTAAAAGGGAGAAGTGCGCCATCGCCACTAGGCAAGTGGACTTTCTGGGTTATAGGATAGATGCCTCTGGCATCCACCCAATTGAGTCCAAGGTGAAGGCCATCCACGAGGCACCCACACCAACCAACAAGACTGAACTACAAGCCTTTCTGGGGCTCCTAAACTTTTACGCCTCATTCCTCCCGCACAAAGCATCTGTCGCTGAACCCCTACATAGACTCTTAGATAAAGACTCACCCTGGCATTGGGGACCCAAAGAAGCCCACGCTTTTAAAGCAGTCAAATCCTTACTCACATCGGAAGCGGTTTTAGTCCAGTTCGATCAACGCCTTCCTCTGTTCCTGGCTGCTGACGCATCCCCTTTTAGGATTGGGGCTGTCCTAAGCCACAGACTCCCCAATGGCTCCGAGGCACCAATTGCCTTCTTTTCTAGGACTTTCTCCACGGCAGAAAGGAACTACAGCCAAATCGATAAAGAGGCCCTGGCTGCGGTTGCTGCAGTTAAAAAGTTCCACGAATTCTTATTTGAACTTGTGACTGACCATAAGCCTCTTCTAGGACTCTTATCTGGAGATAAGCAAACCCCGCAGGTACTTTCACCCAGAATGACCAGATGGACTTTGTTTCTGGCCGCCTACTCATTCAAGTTGGTGCATCGTCCTGGCAAGAACTTGAGTCATGCCGATGCCCTCAGTCGCTGCCCCCTGCCAGCCCCAGTTGAGGACCCTGCACCAATTCACGCCATTTTTGAGGTCAACGAACTCAAACTTCCAGTGACAGCCAAAGACATTGCGGCGCACTCAAAAAAAGACAAAATAATCGCCCAGGTTCTGGACTGGGTGGGAAGGGGGTGGCAGGAAACTCAATGTACAGTTGACTTTGTTCCCTTTAAAACCCGCCAGCAGGAACTGTCGAGGCTACAGGGATGTCTATTGTGGGGTACAAGAGTAGTCATCCCAGCCACCCTTCGAGTACCCATCCTGAAGGTGCTTCACGAGGGCCATCCGGGCATCGTAAGGATGAAGGCGTTGGCCCGCAGCTACGTTTGGTGGCCCGGCATGGATGCTCAAATCGCCAACTGGGTAAGCTCTTGCCAACCTTGCCAAGAAACCAGGGCTGCCCCGCCAGCCGCCACACCCACCAGGTGGGAAAGTGCTAGTGCCCCTTGGTCCCGCCTGCACATCGACCTGGCTGGACCAGTGCATGGCAAGACTTTCTTGGTGGTCGTGGATTCCTACTCCAAGTGGATTGACGTGGCCTTGCTTCCCTCGACCACCACCCAAGCCGTAGTCAAAGCCCTGACCCGTTTATTTGTCACCCATGGACTTCCAGACACGCTGGTGTCTGACAATGGCCCGCAGTTCACATCATGTGAGTTCAGTATGTACGTGGCTAATTTGGGCATCAGATATGTCCTTACAGCTCCCTTTCACCCCGCTAGCAACGGGATGGCAGAGAGAGCAGTTAGGTCAGCCAAGGAGGCACTCACCAGGTTTGGCCAGGAAGACTGGCACTCTAAACTGTCTCGTTTCCTGCTCAGCCAACATACGACGCCTTGCACCGCTACTAACAAATCTCCCGCCGAACTTTTAATGGGGAGACGCCTTAGAACCACCCTGGACAGGCTACACCCCCACTACTGCCCAGACACCCCTTTAGGGTCTGACAGTCTGGTCAGAGACTTTGCCTTGCAGGACCTGGTGTACGCCAGGAACTATGCAGGGGATCCTTTGTGGGTACCAGGTCAAATCGTGTCAGTCACAGGTCCAAGATCCTACAGGGTCCTCCTGGAAGATGGACGCTTGTGGCAAAGGCACGTGGACCAACTCAGAAGGCGACGTGCGGCTGATACCAACCCAACCTGACCTGCCAGCGCCAACGTCTCCCTGCCGGTGCCAGACGGAAGCTCCCTGTGGGACCCGGTTTTCCCCGACGAACAGGAAGGTCTACTGGAGAACCCGAGTTTCCAGCCAGGGTCACCGACTCAGCAGCCGAGCGTTCCAGTTTGCCAACCGGACCTCGAGACTCGCCCGGGTCAGCCCGAGCAAAGGGACTCGCCGACTTCGCAGAACACCACGCCAGGGCAAGCCCATGCCCCGACAACCGTCGAGGCACGTCCCGAGGGCCTGGACTTGTCACCAGCCAACAGTTCACCTGAACTGCGACGTTCTGGTCGCCAGCGCAGACAACCAACTTACCTACAGGACTACGCATGTTCCCAGCTGGGGGAAAGGAGTGTTATGTCCGTGGAACTGGTGGGAGTTCCCAACCAGGTCCGCTGTTTGAGCGGGAGCACCAGCCGCTCCCATTGGTTGGCTCCGTTTGACAGTCGGCTATATAAGCCGGCTGTCGAGCAGAGCCAGCCTGTTGTCGCCCGCTAGTCTGCAAGTTAGCAAGCAGACGCGACAACCCTTTATTCCCTGCAATAAAGCCTTGTTAGTTGTACGCTCTGGTCTCATGCCTCTTCCTTACCATCGCTCCACAACACAGTTCATGAGACTAATGACCTGGCATATGAATAGAGCCAATCTGGTAGTGTCCCCATCATATGTGACCTTCAGATGTGATTCCTGGGCCACAGCTGTGACTGCCAATAGCCTAGAGAAGCTCCTTGTCCCAAGGAGGCCACACCAGACTGCTGATGGTCAGGGCCGCCTCCTGGTAGTTGAGTCCAAGTGCCAGCAGCAGCTGTGAAATCTCTCCCCGCCCCCCACTCTCCAGCAGCCTGCGCTGCAAGACCTTCCAATGCAGCCCCCTCTGCTGGTCCCATGTCAGTCTCCTTTGCCAGGTCCTCGGCGATCCCACCAGTTGGTACTGACATGCAGCTGGCTCCAGAATCAGCAAGCCACTCCAACGAACAGCCTATTCTGAACAAACTGATAAACAGCTAACTCCACAAACATCAGCATGCAGTGGCCAACTTCTCCCTATGAGCAGGCTGGAAACAGCAGCTCTAAAGGCAAAAGAAAGAAGGTATGGATGCTGGCTACCTGTCATGGTTCCAAATCAAGCCAGCAGAAGAAGAGGCCACACTGTGAGCAGAATGGGTCTCTTAACTGGAGTCTCAGCTTGGCACTACAAGTAAAAGTGTTTCTAGCCAGCATTACAGGTTTCTGCTAGCCAGCTGGCTATACGGGCTCAACATCCTCCACCCTCCTGTTCCTGCAAGTACTTTTTTGGCCTGGCTCCAGCAAGTATTCTTCTGGCCTAGATGGCTTCTGAACTGACGACAGCTGGCTTGCCTTCCCAGCATGAGTCCCATCACCCAACACCCACCTGTGGCCCCATGCATCCCCCTCCCCCTGCGCGTGACTGGCAACTCCGAAATGAGTGCGGTGGTCACTTTGAATGCGCACTGTCTCGGATATTGACACCTATACTATTTCAGATAAGTGGCTGTCAACCACCAGTGATGGAGCATCCATGATTTCTGAAGGCAAGCTATTCCACTGGTTACTTGTCCTCACTGTTAGGAAATTTCTCCTTAATTCCAGGTTGCTTCTCTCTCTAGTTAGTTTCCAGTCATAGTTTCTTGTTGTGTAGTGCCAGTAGCTATCAATGTAAGCTTGGCACATTCAGTAAGGGTGCCCAGTTATGCAGGATATTAAAATTGTGTTTGTGTCAATAATTATAATACTCAGGGTGAGCCATGACCTTATATTTAGAGTGTTGAAAGCTGAGTTCAATGTGACCTTGAATAAGAATTAACAGTATAACAATATAAAGTTATGCTAGCTACATTAAAGGCTGAGAGTCATATAGTGAATGAAATTCTCTCCAAATAGCTTTGATAGAGAATTGAATGAAATGATAAAGTTTATTGGTCAATAGTTTCTTTCAGCATCAGAAGCCCTGTTATGCCACTCATTCCCCTCCTTAGAGAAAAATGGAATTGAAGTTCTCACATTCAATGTAATCTGTTAGAACCTCAGAAGTAGAAATGTCCAAATGGCAAAATACTTCAGAAAATTTAAGTGCCCTCTCAGCTCAAACTCCTGTACATTCTCTCTGTCTGTCTGTCTCTCTCTCTCTCTCTCCCTCCCTCCCTCTCCCCATTTGTCCATCTATCCTTTCATTAACATGAAATACTATATGGATAGTGGAAAGATGGTATCTTTTAAAAGTAGGGTTTCGATGTGTTTAAGTAGCAAGTCATCATTTCCATTGAACTGCCTTCTAAGAGAGAAACCATTTTTAAGCTTTATCTATCCATATTGTTTCCACCATTACAGTGGCTTAAATGGGGTGGCTATAAATACTTTTCTATTACTTTTCAATCTGGGGATGTACTGTGCTCGTTCCAGTTGCTTACAGTATGTCGGTCAAACAAAACAAATTGGGGAAGGAGAAAAACAGCCAAAGTCAGAAAGCAGCTATTCTTTCTAATTCTCTGAACAAAGATAATGGCAAGTCAGACAGCCCAGCTATAGCTAGCTGTAAATGGAAACAGAATTCTCTCAAATGAGTGGTGCTCCGACTCTGCACTGCAAAGGAATTTAACTAATAATATTCAGCCCTGAAACAGATTAGGGAGAAGAAGTCTGGGAATGAGAATGCAATCTTCTTTTCTGCTACATTCAGCAGTGGAAGGGATCACACTTTTATTCTGTAAAGTGAGCATTAAAAAAAAACCTTTCAGTGCCATCAAATAATGTGGGAAAGAAAAGGAAAAAATGTGTAGCTATGTCAAGTGTGGTTCTGCCAATTGCTTTTATAATTACAGGGAATCCTTATCCAGAGGCCACTGAAGCCAATGGAAAGATGCTGTCAGTTCTTGTCGGCTTTGGAAGAAGCCCAGGATGTTCAACTGTCCTTTGCCAAGTCAACTAACTTAGTATGCTATATTTTTGCATGCTTTTTACATTAAAACAAATGGACTTTGAATTAAGCCTTCTTTTTTTCCAAGTCATTTTTTTCCTGTCTGCAGCATAAAAATCAATAAATTGGTCACATTGATGGAATATTTGTTTGGTATACTGCTATCTTTGAAAACTAGGACCAACACCACTTCCACTGCCATCTATATATTTAGAAGAAGCAGTTTTTCTTGACCTAGATAATACTGTTGCTGATTTGCTGTTGATTAAATTGTGCAGCCTTTATCCAATCACAACTTGTCAATACTCAAAGCTAGGCTAGAACTAGGTGTGAGCATAATCACTCATTAGACTCACATGGAGCAAAGGGTGGTACAGTTTGGTAGGCAATTATCTCTAGAAATGTCCTAAGATCTTTAGGACACCTAGATCAATGATGGGATTCAATTTTTTTTACTACCTGTTCTGTGGATGTGGCTTGCTTTGTGGGCGTGGCTTGGTGGTCAAATGGCCGGGTGAGCATGGCCAACTCAATGTCACTCATGTCAAGGGGTCCCTTGCCTGGCCCCTCCCCTCCCAGCCATTCCTTGTCACACCCACCTCAACATATCTATAGTTTTATAAAAATGTTATTCACCTTTTTTTGATTACATACCATAGATCCATGATGGCGAGCCTATGGCACGTGTACCACAGGTGGCATGCAGAGCCATTTGTGCAGGCACGCAAGCTGCAAGCAAACTTATCTTTTCGCCCTCCCAAAGGCTTGAGGAAGGCTTCTGCAGGCTATTGCAGGCTTTGCAGGCCAAAATTAGCCCCGTTTTGCCTGTTTTTCTAAAAATACTGGAAGTGATGAAATGGGGCTAGTTTTTGGCCTGCAAAGCCTGCAGAAGCCTTCCTCAAGCCTTTGGAAGGCTGAAAAATGCCTCAAACTGGCTGAAAATCAGCTGTGAGGTACAGTGCAGGTAAAGGGGTTGGGGATGGGGATTACACATGCATGTGTAGGAGGCGTGGGGGGGGCGCATTGCCTTCTGGGTGCTGGCATGCATGTGCGAGCATGCAAGCGCGTGCACAATTTTTGGCACAGGACCCCAAAAAGGTTAGGCACCACTGCTATAGATGTAGTTGAAAGGAGGAAATGGCTCAAATGCTTTGCCCAAGAGTGTGATAGGCAACAGGCTTTTAAGGGGCTGCCAGAAAGAAGGGAGAGGCAATGTATTTTCCAAAGTGCCAGAAGGCAAAGTGTATTTTCCAAAGCACCAGAAGGATGGAAACTGAACAAAGAGAGAAGCAACCTAAAGCTAAGAGAAACTTCCTGACTTTGAGAACAATTAGCCAGTGGAACTGCTTATCTCCAGAAGTTCTGTATGCTCCAACATTGGAGGTTTTTAAGAAAAGACTGGACAGCCATTTCTCTTCTCCAAGGTCCCTTCTAAATGTTATTCTGTTATTCTGACACCTTTCCCAGGACCTCTACTTAGATTTTGGCATCCTCAGTTTTCCTGCCTGAGCAGGAGATTGGACTAGAAGACCTCCAAAGTCCCTTTCAACTCTGTTAAACACACATTTATATATGGTCTGGATTATAGACATTGAATGCATGTAAACAGGGGTGGGATTCAAATTTTTTAATAACTGGTTTAACAACTGGTTCTGTGGGCATGGCTTAGTTGGTGGGCATGGCTTGGTGGTCATGTGACTGGCAGGGCGTGGCCAACTCAATATCACTCACATCGGGGCATGCATCTCCTCGCCTGGCCCCTCATGACTGTGGGGATGCTGCAACAGTCATAAGTGTGAAAAACTCCCATAAGTCACTTTTTTCAGTGCCATTGTAACTTTTAATGGTTACTCCACACAAGCAAAGGAAGGAAAAAAGAGATGTTTCTGAGACAGGAAGTCTAGTCCTGGCAAGAATATAATCAGAGTTAACAGAGAGGCAGTTTCTGTAAGCAACACCAAAATGTTTCCTTCCTGCCTTCCTTACAAGATTAGGCCAGTAATTTCTTCTAACA